AAGTTTGTTGTTGTTCTTCTTTATTGAATAATATATATATAAAAGTATGTGTAAAGTATGTGTACAATATATCCTAAATATTCTTGTGCAAATATTAATTCTATTCTTATGTCACTTAGATAGGTATCATTGAACATATGAGGAAAGTAAGCAGACAAGTTAAGAAACCTGCCCAATAACTAACAGTTGCGTTAAGAGCTCAAGTTTCAACTCAGTGACTGGCTACAGGTTTGTATTACCCTTATGCCATACTGAAACTGTGAAAACCTAGCACTTAGAGTTGCAAAAAACAATTCAGGGTCAGAGTACAACACAAGGAATTGGGAAAAAATAAAGTGGTTTTAATGCCATGAGTCTGAACTCTGTCCTACCCCAGATAGTGCCCACATTGTCCACTATTCCAAACCAAAAGCTACTTGTTAAAGATGGCATCATCCATTCTACAAGTTAATTCCACAAACTGGTGGTACACCAATATATGGTGGGCCCAACTCATGATAGCAACTGGTAGTAGTCACAGGTGGCTCTGGACAACACCTGGAGGCAGTGTTAGATGTTAACAGAAGCAGTAAACAGCTCTCAGACATGGTGCCAGCGGACTAGGCATTGCTGTACAGCTCTTTCAGAGGCAATGCCAGTTGATCAGGTATCAGGTACAGCTCTTAAGAGACATCACTCGCAAACCAACTGTGCCCATTAGGAGGTAATGTCAGAGGCAGGAACAGCAATCAGGTGGTAGTTTGAAGGAGAGATCAGATGTAAAGATCTTAACGGGTCTGTCAAGCAAGTTTCATAGGTGAGAAGAATGAAAGTTGGAGATCTGACATAAAGATCTCAAAGGTGTCCTTGAACAGTGAAAGTCTTGGAGGACTGTGTGGAAGGTCTTCTCAGGAGAATCTGGACAAATGTATGTCTGAATGCCTGGCTTATATATCCTGCAGGGTATCTATGTTTCAGACCTGATTGGCATATTTTCAGAACTGGGCAGGCTTTTAAAACAAAACATAAGCAGTGTGTGAAATCCAACCTATAGTGAGGTTGGGTGGTGGTGGTGGGACCTGTGATGGAGCCAGGCAGGCAAGCTCCATTGCATTTCTGAACCAGAATCCCTAGTTGCTCCTTTTCTAGGAAGAGCCTTCTCTTTATCGTTTCTAATGATAAAGATGAATGAATAATAAAACAGATATTCAAAGACTCGAATGCATATTTGAGAAACAGCATTGCTAATATCTTTTGCTTTGTATAAACCTCTTATTCAAATTAACTCATACAAGACATAAAAGGTTATGTCTTGTTAACATTCTCACTTCTGTGAAAATTCTCTTCCTTTGTCCTGCTTTAGTATGACCATCTGTAAATGAATCTCTAAATGATGTATTTTGTTTTAATTTATTTACAAATAGCTGAATAAATTCTTTACTATATATTCTTAACTATATATATGACAGCATTATTGGGTTCTTGGTGAGCACTCTCCTCACAACTGCCTTCATACTGTCTCCTCACATTTTTCCTGTCTCTTAGTAGGGCACTTAATCCCATCATAAGAGCTCTGGCCTCATTAATGATCTCCCAAAGCCCTTTCTTTTACAACTAACCAGTTGAAGATTAGACTTCAACATGAGTTTTGGGAAAACACAAACATAAATTCCTAACATACGTTGTTAGCAATTATTTCATTGTATAAATATTTTAATAACTTAGTTAACTATTCTATTTGGCATTTGGATTATATATTTATTTATTTGCTGTTGTATTAAAAATTAGTAATTGTTTTTATATCAAGAAACACCACTGTCAAAGAATGGGAGTCATGGAGCAAGCTGCAATGGCAGGATGCTGACATGAAGGCAAAACCTGGTCCTTTTATTGATTGAGTGATTTTACAGAGTCAGTTATTCAGGGGAGGAGAACAAACAGAAAAAATGTTAGAAGGAAACAAATGTATGCTCAGGTTATCTCAGCTCATTGGTGAGATGAGTCTGAGCATCAGGCTAATTTTATGGTCCATATATGAAGATCAAAATCAAGTTTCTGGCCTCCACTAGTGGCTTTAGCCTTATCAATAGGACATTCCCCTGGTCAGTTTCAGAGATACAAAATTACATCTCAATCTATGCCCCCCGCCCCCAGGCATTCCTGGTCATGTCTATATACTCACTGACACAGGGGAAGCACCCTGCTCTTGTTTGACTTGAGAGGACCTCTGCAAGGTCCATCATTTGCATTCTTCAAGTTTAGGTAATTGGCTGTGCTGAATGGACTTTGTCCTGCCAAGACTGAGCTACATAGCCAGAATGCAGTTAAACAGCCCTTTAAGCTTAGCAGACCACAAAACGTGGTATACCTTCTCAAAGTAGATTTACTAATTATTGTATCTAGTAGTTGATTTATAAGTTAGTCTCTGTACCTGTTTTACATACTAGCTAGTACTATTTTGTGAGTATTTGAACCAAATCACATTCCTACCAGCTTTGTATGAAAGTTTCCATTACTGCACATTTTTCTTAAATATAAAGTTAAAAAACTTAGAAATATGTCTGCAGACTTGAGGCTACTAGGGGAAAGGATGGGTTGGGGGCCAAAAGCATCTCTGGATGGAAGGAGGATGTCCAGTTAATGCATAGTCTCCTGCCATGTTGGGAACCAGGCCCAACTATTGAGGTGTCCGGAGGTGAGACAGGCAGAGCCCTAAGGTGGAAAGGCGTCCTGAGTGGAGATTCCAAAAGGGGAGAGGAGAGCAGCTGTGGGAGGAAGACACGGGAGTCAGAGTTGGGTTCAAGTCTTCCTGCTCATTCCCTCAGCAGGTCTTTATACTGTGTAGCAAGTAGTTATTGTAATAATGCATAGGGTAAGTTAATGAGAGATGGCTTAAATTGTCATAAACGTTCTCAGGGACAAGGGGAACAAAGCATTTTTTCTTAACATTTTATGGTATACTAAATTATATATTTTTGTGATCATTGTCATGTATACAGATGTTTAGCTATAACTCAAGGGAAGAGGTGTCTGGGAAAGGATGAGCTTGTTAGCAAAAGGTTATTGGGGGCTTTAGGTAAGTGATAAATTGTGTTATCAGTGTTATCAGTGATTGTCCAAAGGAAAGCTAATGGCTAATTTAAGGCTAGCAGAGAGTAGCTAGTGCTTGTTTTAAAAAGGAGTAAATTAAGAGAAAGTTGTACAGTTGTGTATTAAGCAACACCTGTGTAAACAAGGTTAAAAACAGTCCATGAGTCCTTATGCCCTAGTCTTATCTGAGATTTGTTTTTTATTTAAAGAATCCAAGGAAGCTTCCCAGAAGTTTTTATGCCCTGGGGTCTTATCTCTCCTGGGGCTTGCCTTCTGTCTCCGTAGACAGAGGAATTTCCTGCCCTGGGGCAGCTTGCCTGGACCAGGCAACCACCTTATGAGGCTAAGGCAATCCAGTTGTAAACTGATGGTTGCTCAGAATATTTTGATATTATAATTATACAAAAAAGGGAGGTCGTAATATAAGTTAGCAGTGGAAATTCTGATTTTTCACAGCTTTTCCTTTTCTATCTGAAATTTGTCAGTCGATAGAAGTTGCATAGCTTGTGTCACTGCCATACTTTTGATTTGTTGGCTAAGTATTGATCTCTGCTCTGTTGACTCTGATAAAGCTGATAAACAGATTCTCAGATTGTAGTTTTCCCTCCTCTACCTCTCTCTGCCTCCAGGTTATTTACCTCGGTGCAAGAAAAGGATCTGTGAAAATAAATTCTGGATAGGTGTAAGCTTCCTCAGTTCCTCTAAAGCAGTACAGCATATTTGCCTCTGCTTGCCCCTACCACTGGTTCTCACCTTCAGAGAATGGATATTTAGGACACTTACGTATCCTCTTACCTTTGTGAGAAAAATCACAGCTGCCTAATGTTTGGAGGGGAAAAGATTTTATAGTATTTTATTTTTGTACATTTAATTTTTGCTAATAAAATCCTTTAAGAGACTAAATTTTAAATGTACTCTGATACTTTCTGTTCCAGACAAGTATGTTCCTGAAGAGTAGTTTATTTATATGATTTTACTTAATCCTTACCAGATTATGTGAACCTAACTTTCTATCCAAAAATTAAGGCCCAGAGAATCAAGTAACTAGTTAAGATGGTAACTATTTAAACAGCCAGGGTTTAAGCCCATTTGTCTGACAGTGAGATCAACAATCTTTTCACTATCAGTGTGATGTTTCTGAGGACTAAGTATCAGTGGCATTGAAGAAGGAAAACTACTGGCAGAATAACAGTTACTATATAGCAGGGCTTTTGATCTGTCTCTTCCAGTTCCAACACTCCTATATATTGCCTTTATTCCCATCTTCCTATGGAAGATTTCCATGTCCTTGCTTTCTGTGTCCTTCCATCCTGAATAGTCTCACTCTATACTCTGTTTACCCTGCTTGTAAGTCTATTATTTATGAACTGTTTATCATCCTGTAACAGGGTGGTCCCTAGGAAAAGGGGAAGTTCCAGGTTCCCTGCCCCACCCAGAAGGAGGCTGGAGCTGAGCAGAGAAAAAGGAGAGAAGAGAAGGAATCAGAAGAGAAGAGAAGAGAAGAGAAGAGAAGAGAAGAGAAGAGAAGAGAAGAGAAGAGAAGAGAAGAGAAGAGAAGAGAGGAGAAGAATGAAGCTG